GGGTGGGGTGGGGGGAAGGAGAAGGCGGGGGGAAGATGTTGAAACAGTAAAGAAATATTTCAGTCTTTGTTGGCATGTAGATTAGTCCTGGGATAACATGTTTGGGTTTGGGGCTTTTTCCCCCTTCAATTTCTTTACGTACATAATCCACATATAAAGGAAATTTATCATGCAAATCTCCAAGTGAAGCAAACAAAGAACAATTTAGCAATCCAGAATCTGTAGTTCAATACAATGCTATGAAGAAAGAAAAACAGAAGTGGAGTGTCCTGGTCTAGAAAGGAATACAATTTGTTTACTTCAGGGTCAAAAGGTAGACAAAGGCAAAAAAGAGAAATGATACATCCATAGCACTGGCCTTAAAATTATCATTAAATCAAATTTCAGGCTGTTTCCAAAATAATGGTTTATAATTGGAGATGAGAAGCGGACAGCTACAAGTACCTCAGCCTGAAGAATAAGCTAAGATTCCATGACAGATGCATGCCACACACCTAGTGTTTTGAAATTTGTCCCGAAATATCCGTGATGTTTTATTTAACTCAATGAATGTTCTTAATCTGTATTATTATTTTTGGTACACTCAGTTTTCATTAAGGATCAGTTCTTCCTCTGATTATAAAACATTTGTTCCATAATGAAAATCAACACACACAAATTTCAAACATATTGTTACATGTATTATCCAGTGGCCAAAAGCTCGTGCTGTCCATATACAAACACAACACACCCCAACGTTTGCTCTCTTGGCCAGCTGAGGCATTTTGCACAGGTACCCTTGTCTGCCTGCCTGCAACATTCAAAGTCTCTAACTCTGTCTCAGCAATCCCTTTCTTGCTTTCACAAATGTTGTTCATGGCAAGCACATAAGTGAGCCATAATTTAATGATGAGAAGCATCCAGCTTTGCTATGAGGGACGTCCCCTTCTCCTGGGTCTCCCATATGCCCACTCCACACTCATTGTTAAACAGGACAGGGTTTAACAGCTGCTTCCTTTAGCCTGATCAGCTTATGAAACCTTCTCTGAACAAAGGCAGGGAGCAAGCTCAATCTCCTAGAATGAGCGGAGTAGCCATTATCTCAACAGTGACCTGGATAGCCAAGCCACTCTCATTTACTCCAAAAATCACATCTTAGGTCTTGACTATACTATCACTACAGGCTACTCCATGTCAGTAACAGTAAATGTTCTGAGTCAATTAGCATGATAGGAAAATACCTCTTCCTGCTAATACAGCTTTTTCTCCCTACATCAGGCTAAAGAAGCGGCACTTAAATTCCACTGGTAACCACTTAACAACTAGGGAACCCAAAGAGAACTGAGCACAACTATTGCAGACAAGTTTTATGACTGAGGAAAGCAACGTGCCAACAGCTGATCTACTTGTGAAAGGCAGAGCTCAGGGAGGCACACTTCCAAACAGCAATAGCCACGTTTCCCCATTTGGAGCTCTGTATTGTAGAGCCTGCAGACAAACTCTGCACCAGCTACTCCCCAACTCTTTTCCATCACAGATCTGACTTGCAGACTAAAAGTTACATGCACCTCTAAGTACTCTATAACCCCAAATTCTGCCATATCACACTACTCAGTCCTGCTCCTAAAAAACACAGCTTCTAGTTTGGGATATATTGCTCTGCACATACATCCTCAGCAGTTCTGTAACAGCTGCTGCTTCACTGTCCTATCCCATCACAGCTGCTTCTCCATTACTGAGACCAGAGAAAACTGCCAATATATGTCACATCTTGTTTCTATGAATGCCTGTCATCATTACAGCTTTCCACAGTACATCTTACAAACTGCCTATAAAGAGTTTGTAAATGTCACGTGCACTGAATTATGGAAGTCGAGGAGAGGAATCACAGAAGCTTGTGGTTAAATCCCAACCCCAAAATTCCCATAGATTTCCACAGGCATCTCCAAATACAGAAGAACATTAGTATTTAGTGCTTTGGAATATGTCATGAATGCTGTACAGTTCAAAGAACTTCAAAGAAGTTCAAAGCTGTGATTGCTGAGATGAACAAAGTACTTCAAACAAGCATAGGTAAGCATCATGGAGAAAGTGAATTTCTGGCCTGTGTGGTTAATCTGATCTACTTTCTTCCTATAGTAAGTCTTCAAGGTACTATAGGCAAAAATTTCTATGGGTGAGGCAGTGAGCTATAAAAGACAAATCTATGAATGACAAATTAATTTAACTCATGTTTCTCCTGATACGAAGCAAAGCAAAATTCCTTACTCTGGACTATGAATAAATCAACTTTGGATGTATAAATAAAGTCAGAGAGACAGAGATCTTTGAAATATATTAATGTTCCTTCCTCTTCAATTCAGGCAACACAAGTGACATGTACTTCTAGCTGTGGACAGTAGAATAAAAATAATCCTTCAGTAGCTCCCTAATAATGTATGGTTTTCATCAACCATAAAGAAATAAAATGAAGTTCCTTCTCTTTTTTTATATTATTCTTCAACTGAATGAGGAAAAGTAACACAAATAATTAAATACATATAGTAAACTTAAAAAACCTACAAAACCTAAAATAGACTACATTTCTATATAATACTTAAAAGACAAAAAAAGACAACACATCATCTGGATACAAAATAAAACTACAATCTTTGTGGAAAATGAAAGACAGGATAAGGGTAAAAAAGTTATCGCTAAAGGTACTTTACAAAAAGGCTTGGCAAGTGTCACCATCAATTGTGATTGCAGCGCAGTAAGAATCTCAGAATTATCTGCAAACTGCTATCTGATCAAATGCTTTTTTTGGAGGCCAGAGTATAGCAAAACAAGATAAACTCCTCTTTCACTCCAGTTTAAGATCTCTGCTTAATATGGTAATAAACCAAAACACTACAAAGTCTTTTTACAGATACACACATGTTGGGTACTATGATGGAACAGTCTTAGTTTCATCAGTGAATGAACGTCGTACGTTACCAAATCACTTTTTATCTCTCTCCTCAATTTCCTCCTCCTGCAGCCAAGCCTTTATGCTGCTAAATCCACACGTTGTCTCTTGGCACGCAATAAATGGAAGTAAGTTTATCATATTCACACAAATTGTCCATAAGGAGTAGGCAATATTCCTTGAAATCTGCTTCCCTTCAGTTTTTTATGTCTATCTCTAAAATAAAAATTCATTAAAACTTCAAAATGTTATTAGCAGAATTATCCTATAGGAATGGCCAATGGAATTCACTCCTAAACCATCTTCTAACATACCACTTGTCACACAAATAACATGCCTCTCATTTCTAACCCAAAGGTCTAGAATAATCTAA